AACAGAGACAGAGATCACAAGTAGGCAGAGAGGCAGGCAGAGAGAGAGAGGAAGGGAAGCAGGCTCCCTGCTGAGCAGAGAGCCCGATGTGGGGCTCGATTCCAGGACCCTGAGATCATGACTTGAGCCGAAGGCAGAGGCTTAACCCACTGAGCCACCCAGGTGCCCCTTAAGTGTCCAACTCTTTTTTTTAAAGATTTTATTTATTTATTTGACAGAGGCAGAAGCAGGCTCCCCGGAAGCAGGGGGACCCTGGGACCATTACCTGAGCCTAAGGCAGACGCTTAACTTACTGATCCACCTAGGTGTCCCAGGTGTCCGACTCTTAATTTCAGCTCAGGTCATGATCTCAGGGTTCTGGGATTGAGCCCTCCGCCAAACTCTGTACTAAGCCTGGAGTCTGCTTGTCCCTCTCCCTCTGCTTCCCACCCCAACCCCTTAAAATAAATAAATAAATAAAATCTTTTTAAAAATGCGATCACCCATGAAACCTATACTTCTATCAAGATTACACTTCCATAACCCCAGAAAGTTCCTTTACTTTCTTTGAGTCCTTCTTCTCCAGAAGCAATCATTAATCTCATTTTTGGTGAAGTTTTGCCTTTCTAGAACTGCATATAAGTATCATACAGTATAAGCCCTTTTGTGACTGACTTCATTTACCCTGTTTTATCCATGTTGTTGTGTCTATCACTAGTTCATTCCTTCAGCATACTTTTAGTTTTGAATGTTCCTTTGAATGTGCCTAGAATCTCTGTGATAACATGAGGGGTAGGCAGGAGGGACAAGAGGGAAGGTCAGTGGATTGGGATTTAGAACAGCTGGGTCCTAGGTTTGGCTCCATCAGTATACAACCTTTGGGATAATCTGTTTTGGTCTTCATTTTTCTCATCTGTAAAAAGATGAGATCATTGGCCTAAGAGGGAAACAGACTTGTCCAAGGTTAGCCAGTGCCAGCCAGGGATTGCTCCAGTTCACTCAATTCCTGCTTTAGTGCACGTTACTGAAAAGAACTGACTTTTTATGTAGATCATTAACTTCCAGGAAGATTGAATGGGGTTGAATTGGCAGTCTTCCTAGTTAAGGCCAACAGTTTCCTCAGCTTCATGTTTTAGTTCCCTTCCTCTGGCTAAGGGTGCCTTCTTCTGCCACCACCACAGAAGGCTGGAATTTGCCAGCTGTGGACTCTTAAAAGGGTAGGTTTACTTAAGGAAGGAAAGCTCTCTGAGCATGCACTGGTTGGGTTTAGAACTAGACCTGCCGGAAAGGCACTGAAGACAGGTGGCCAAAGTGTCTTGCGCTAGCTTAATGTGTACTTTGACCTCTTTGTGTCATTTATGTCTTCAAATGTGTGATCTCCCTGGAGAGTCTGAAATGATTCATTTAGTTCTTATAAATCCGCCCGGAATAACTTTCATTCCTAGTTATTTCAGGTTTAGGTCACCATTTAGACAGAATGCCCAGGCTCTGAAAGATGCCCAAGCTCCAAAGAATGAAAACTCTTCAGAAGATAGCTGCTAAAGGAGGAAAGAATCCCTCCCACTTCTGCCTCCTTTAAGTCCCTGCTGGAGCAGAGAGCCCTATCATTCTATACAGTGGGAAGCATAAGGTTTCAACCTGAACTGGCTCCAGTTCTCTTTGGATTTCTAGTCAGCAGCTCAAGGACTTAGCCTGGAAACTTTACCTGAGGGAGGGCAAGTGGGAGGCATCTCTTATTACTCACCTAGTAAAACACATTACCATGCAACTTTGTACTGAGCACAGGCCAAGTCCCCAGCCAAGGACCTTGCAGGGAAGGGCCAACTCATGAGCCACAGGGACGCCCAACCAAGTCTCTCCACTTATCCCTGGCACCAAGCCTCTGTACAGAGGTAGGTATAGATTGTCCTGGACAAGCATGGACCACCTTAAATTACAGCTCCATGGCTGTAGGCTCCAGAGCTGAGAGACTAAAATAACATGCCAATCTAGAACACTGTGGGCAAGGTGCACTGGTTAACCTCTTTGTAAAACACTAAAAAAGCCAGCCAAACAAACAAATTTGTAATATTTACATAGTAAATAGTTACTTACTATTTGTTAAGCATCATACCAGGCAGTGGAAGATCAGGAGAGCACAAAATAGAACAGCATAGACGTAAGAATAAGACACACTTCAAAGTCTAGCCCCCAATCTAACCTTTATTTCCTCCTCTGTGGAGGGGAGTTAATGGAGTTACTGAGAAAATGTAACTTAGGAGAGCACCTAGCACACAACATCTAGTGAATGCTTACTATGTACCAGACACTGTTTCTAAGCTCTTTACCAAGATTAATTCTTTCAACAAGTCTATGAGGAAGGTCTATATTTATTAGTTTTAAGGCCTATGAGGAAGGTTTTACATGCATTTTTCAGAAGAAAAAATAGATCCTGAGATGTTAAGTAATTTGCCCCAAACCACATAGCTAGTAAGTGGCATAGTGGGATTTGAAAGCAGTATGTCATAGAGATTGAGAGCAAACTTTGGAACCAAACAGCCTGAGTTAAATGCTTCATAAATATTGTATGACAGTATTTATTATATATATATACATTATAAATATTATAATAGTTTTAATAGTTCAAAAATGCTAATAATTTTTATTTGCTATTTATATTATTATCCCTCATTTAATTCTCTGTGCCAAGAAAATAATAATTCTCTATTATGCCTATTTAATAGGAATTATCCCATTTATTTGAAGAAATAGGTTTGAGTGGCAACAGAGCCTGCTTCGCCCAAATACATTCTGTGACCCACACAATGTTAGCTCTGTGTTAGAAGTGGAGTCTTATAAAACTTGCACTTAGCTGGTTTGGAAGCTAGTCTACTAGTGAGTCCTTCTGTCCTTCCTCTACTAGAATCCCACCCGCCCTCCCCACAGACAGTTATTTCTATTTTAATTACACAAATTAATATGTAGATACATTTCTGTTGTAAAAGATTTGAATATATAAGCAAATATAGTCCCTACTGATGGGAGTTTTACATGGTGAACATTTATTCACTATATAAACAATGTTGCAGTGAACATAATAGTATATACATCCTATAAAAATATATTCAAGAGAGTTCCTAAAAGAACTGCTGTTGAAATATATATTTTAATTTTTTTAAGTTTTTAAGTAATCTCTAAAGCCAACGTGGGGCTCAAATTCATGACCCCAAGATCAAGAGTTGCATACTCTTCTGACAAAGCCAGCCAGTAAATATATAAATGTTTAAAATATTTACAGATCCTGGGGCACCTGGGTGGCTCAGTCAGTTAAATGACCAACTCTTGATTTCAGCTCAGGTCATGACCTCAGGGTCATGAGATCAAACCCCACATGGGGCTCCATGGTGAGAGGAATCCGCTTTCCTTCTCCCTCTACCCCCTACCCCCATGCACGTGTGCACATTCTCTCTCTCAAATATCTTTAAAAAAAGATAAAATATTTATAGATCCCATCAAACTGTCCTCCAGTAGCTTTATTAACTTATTATCCCTTTAGTGTGATTGTGCCTGTTCTTCATCCCCACCAATACTGGCTGTTATAAATACTTCTGATTTTTGTTAATAGAAATAGCTAATACTACTTTATTTAACTTTGTTCAGTTTTTAATTGGGCTGTTTGCTTCTTACTGATTTCTAGGTATTTTTTTCTTTTTGTTTTTGTTTTTTATTTATTTATTTATTTATTTAAGATTTTATTTATTTATTTGACAGACAGAGATCACAAGCAGGCAGAGAGGCAGGCAGAGAGAGAAGGGGGAAGCAGGCTTCTTGCTGAGCAGAGAGCCCGATGTGGGGCTCGATCCCAGGATCCTGAGATCATGACCTGAGCCGAAGGCAGAGGCTTAACCCACTGAGCCACCCCGGCGCCCCGATTGTTTTTGTTTTTTAAAGAGAGAGAGAAAGAGCAAGCTGGGGGGCAGGGGGCATGATGGGGAGAGACAAAGAGGGAGAGAATCTTCACAGAGCCCGACACAGGGCTTGATCTAAGGACCTTGAGATCATGACCTGAGCTAAAATCAAGAGTTGAATCCTTAACTGACTGAGCCACCCAGGCACCACATGTTTCTAGGTACTTTTTACTTGTTGTAGATGGTATTCCTTTCTGTTACATATGTTACAAAGGGGTAATGTTTCCTTCATCACTTAAGGTTCAACTCAACTAACTCCCTTCTTTGAAATTCTTGCTGACAGCTCCAGTCCACACTGCTCTGATGACCCACAGCACTGAGCAGACAGGGCCCCACAGAGTCCTTACTGATTACTAATTGAATTTTACTGTTCTTTAAACCGGTATTCCTCTCATCTTCTCCCCTCTTTTCTTTTTCTCTCCTCCCCAGTCACCAACGCAAAGACTCAAAGTAGTTTTAGGGCTTACTATACTTCAGATTTGCACTTCTAATACATAGATGCTCAAGAAATGTTACTGATGGGGGCCCCTGGATGGCTCAAATCAAGTGTCTGCCTTCGGCTCAGGTAATGATCTCAGGGTCCTGGGATCAAGCCCCACATCAGGCTCCCTGCTCAGTGGGGAGTCTGTTTCTCCCTCTCCCTCTGATGCTCCCCTTGCTTATGTTCTTGCCGTCAAATAAATAAAATTAAAAAAAAAAGTTACTGATGATGATGAGAGCATATACCTCTTTACATTCCAGCTTCGATGGCAGGAGTTACTCTTCCACCTCCTTTCCTACTCCCAAACACCTCCCAGGGCTAGATAGAAAACCGAATGGGCAATGTAGCTCCATGGAAGAAAAATGAGAAGCGATGGCAACTGTTATTAACTGGAGAATACAACCATCTCAAAGAGGAATCGTTACTCAATTCCAGCAAATTGTCAAGTGGGAATATAAGCTCCATGATGATAGCTTCTCCATTTTTTAAGAGCTGAAAATCTGTATTTTATGTTAAATGTGCCTTTTATTTATTTTTTTATGGCATAAAGGGGATTCAGCCACTTAAAAAAAAAAGATTTTATTTATTTGACAGAGAGAGTGCACAAGTAGGCAGAGTGGCAGGGAGAGGGAGAAGCAGGCTCCCTGCTGAGCAGAGAGCCCAATGTGGGGAATGATCCCAGACTCCATTATCATGACCTGAGCCAAAGGCAAATGCTCAACTGACAGAGCCACCCAGGCGTCCCTGTTAAAAGTGCCTTTTAAATGTCAGGGGGCGCCTGGGTGGCTCAGTGGGTTAAAGCCTCTGCCTTCGGCTCAGGTCATGGTCCCAGTGTCCTGGGATCGAGCCCCACATCGGGCTCTCTGCTCAGCAGGGAACCTGCTTCCTCCTCTCTCTCTCTGCCTGCCTCTCTGCCTACTTGTGATCTCTGTCTGTCAAATAAATAAATAAAATCTTAAAAAAAAAAAATTAAATGTCAGGCAACATTGTGTGTTTGTTGGGCTGTGAGCATGTCGAGGTCAGACTCTGCATCTGTCTGGTATATAAGAGGAACTCAATGTTTATTTTCCCATATGTTTTCTTCCTTCTACTAGATTGAATGAAATATCCAGATCAACCAAGGAAAGATAAAAGCACTTACATAATGGCTAGTAATTAGTTGTTCTAATGTTGTTTTCTTTCCACCCTTCAAACCAGACTAAGTAACACGAAGAAAGAGATCCTATTATTCATCACATCAGATCATATTATTCATTCACACAGTAGCTGGCACAAGGAAAGGTCTTAGAAAAACTTGTCAGTCATATGTTGAACCAATGATGAATAAATGAAGACCTGACGAGGTAACCAATTTACATTTAGATTGTGAATTTACTTTTCAAATTAAGCGTCCATGTAATCAGTACTTGGTACACTGACCCAAGATGTAGGACAGAAGACCATCCATTAACCCCACTCTTTGTTTTACTTGGCAAATACCAGTCAATATTTAATATTGGTGGAACATGACGGGTGAAGACGTGTGGTATCTCACCATGAAAATACCACAGCTCTTTACAGCAGTCATGTCCAACCCATGGCTGCCTAGCTTTCAACGTCAGTCTTAGCTGAAGATAGTCCCCGAGTTTTATACCTCTTGGCCCACACTTCCGCTGTTCAGGACTTCTTCCCGGGATCTCTCCGGGTGCTAGTTTCTGCAGGGCCATTCTCTGGGGATAGGCGGTTTGGAGTCTCAGTTGTGGGACGGCCTCGTTCTTTCCTCCTTTGCAGCTCCTCCCACCGCCTTGCCTGCTGTTCACTCATGCAGTCCCTGAAGGCCTGTACCTGCGGCTGACACTGGCGCCAGTCCTGGTGTTGGGCCATGCACTCCTGTACTGCATAATGGGAAGCAGCACAGCCAGAACGGGAGATCAGCCGGTCCAGGGGGTCCTCTTCCTCATCTTCCTTCTTTACCTGTCGGGCCCAGGTATGGCCTTGAGTTGACATCTTTGGGAATCTCTGGAACATCAATGGAGGCAAGGTTAGAGTAGGGATGTGACTATGAGGTTCCCCTATTATAAATAACACTGACCAAACCTATTTTGGTTTGGTTTAGCCTATTTATGCATTTGTCTCCCATTGGAGACTATAAGCTTATTTGAGAACAGATATTCAGCCTGATTCACCCTGATGCCATCAGCAATAGGCCTGGCAAGAGAACAGATCTGCAAAATGGTCTGAACTCAATGAAATGACATCAAGTATATGAGAGTGTTTAGCACAGCACTAAATAAGCTAGAATGGATTCTGCTAATGGAATCTGAAATAGGTGAAATGTCACCTTTTTGGAGCACCTGTCTTGGATCCAACCCAAAATAATTAGTCTCTCTTCTTTTCTCCTATTAGCCTTTTCCTATGGTTGGAAAAGAACATGGTTTAACACTTGGGAGAGTACCCAAATATGGGTAGGGTTTGACTTACAGGAGAAATGGAGAGTTCAGTGTGGCTGTAGCATATAATGTGCATGGGCCGGGGCAAGAGATGAGTCTGTGAGATGAGAGTGTTTAATGTGAGGTGGATTTGCCCAGATTGTCTTCCCAAGATCATCTGCTTCACAGCACCCAGTAGAAAGTAGCCTACAGAAAGAATCTGAGAAAGGTTTGAAGGGAAATAAACTCAGCCTTTACACACATTTCACCATGATAGGCTTTAAAGGAAGAAGTACTCTTTAATGCCTTTCCTGTGTCTCTCTGATTCATTCAACAAAAGATCATTGAGTATGTATCATGTATGAGGCACTACGCTAGAGGATACAGGAGTGACCAAGACCGACTGAGTTCCTGCCTTAATAGTGTACAATCTATGTAATAAACAGACTACAACGCAGTGTGTACAGATATCGAAGACTGGGAACAAACACACTGGAGGAACACCTAATCCAGACATGGCAGGAACAGGCAGGGAAGGCTTCCTGGAAGAAGTGATTCCTAAACTGAGACTTGAAGGATAAATAGGAGTTAGCCAGAGATGGGGAGAAGGTCTATTCCCAGTCAATGGAAGAGCAGGATCACAGGTTGAGACAGGATTTAACACAGGAAAGGAACTGAAAGTTCTGTACAGCTGAAGAATAGCATATGAAGAGAACTGTAAAACAAATGAAATTGGCGCTATGAGAAAGTATCTAATCATAGCAAGGTCTTGTTGGCCATAGTAAGCAGTGTAGAAATTACAAAGATTTAAGGACTCCAAAGCCTTACGCAAACCTGAGGAAGGAGAGGGTAAATAGGCTTTGAAAAGGGACTGGGATTGGAAACCTAATTTTGTCACTAACTGGAAGACCTTAAGAAAATCACTTCGTAGTCTCTCTTTAAAAAAATAGTGTCTACCTCACAGGACTGTTGAAGGCTAAATGAGATAATGCACTTAAGAAGCCTGGCACGTCCAAAGAATTCAATACATGAGTTTTAATTACTGTACAGAAAAAGTGCCTTGGATTCTAACCCAAGAGATCCAGATTCGAATCCCAGCACCACGTCTTACCACACAATCTTTTTAGCTTCCTCCTTAATAATATTTAACTCATAGAATTAACGTGAGGATTAATATGATAATGAACGAGAACTGCACGGACAACAGGACTCAGTAAATGCCACGGTACTCTCTCCCCACTACATCCGGCTTCAGTCTTCCCTGGAGTGAAAAGAGGAAGACCCATGCTGGGAGATCAGGGCAGGCTACACAGTCGGCAGCTGGCCTGAACTGGGAAGGCCTGGGAACGCAGAGAAATTCAATTGTCCAAGTCACCTGCAGCTACTCTCTCACTTTAACGAGAGAACGCGTGCGCGCACGCGGCAGTTAGCCGCAGTCCCGCTGTGCCCGTTACGCCTCTCTGCGCAAAGACGCGGTACGCAGTGCTCACCGAACAGGTTGGACACGAGAACTCGGACGCGCGTTCTAGCACGTCGACGTCAGTTTTGCAGGCAGTTGGAACTCTTCCGACCCTCCGACCGAAAACCAACCTCTGGTGGGGGGGGGGGGGTAGGCGGGCAACCTGAGCGCGGAAGTGGGAGGGAGAGGAACCGGCCACATGTATTCATTGGTGGCCTCTCAGTATAGATCCCGCCCCCAGTCCTTCTCGCAGCCCCTTGGCGACCCACTTCCGGCAAAGAGCGGAAGAGGCGGGGTTAAGATGGCGGCGCCTCTGAGGATTCAGAGCGACTGGGCCCAAGCCCTCAGGTGAATGAAGGCCCATAACTGGGACAGAGGAGGGTAACGCGTGTTGTCTTTGCGTTAAGGAGAGCTGTATTCAGTCCAGGATAGGGATTACCTTCATCATTTGTTGAGGGATCACTGGATGTAGCAAACCCACATGGTCATTTTTCTTCGTTTTCCGCAGAGCTGTCCTGAGGCAACGTATATGTGCTGTGATCCCAGTATCAGAACTAGGATTAATGATTGGAGAAAGACAGGAAAACTGGGAGGCAGGAAGACTTTTGGGCGAGAAGTCATTTAGCAAATATTTACTGTTCGTCAGTTATTTGCAAAGGTCCTACTACTCAACCACCTCCACGTTGTCTTTGAGTTTATGATGAAATCTTTGTATCCTCCTTGGACCCCTAGTGCTATGTTAGGTATATTGCACAGTTCTATTCAGGAAACAATGTAACATCCGCTATGTCCAGGCTGTGTGCGGGTGGAGTTTAGATGAATAATCTAAATTTAAAGGGTGGCTCCTGCCTTCAGGAAGCTGACAGCGTAATTGGGGATGCACAGCAAACCATTCATTTAACATATTTATTGATCGTATACTGTGCAGATTGTTGCTCTGCACCAGGACGAGTACAGCAGTGCCATGAATGGCAACTGTTATTACTAATAGGGGTTTTTCTATTTCTAAGAGGGGTTTCTACATTGAAACCATGGTAAAGATGAAAACAGCTTTTTGCAATTAAGAAAATTATGCTTTACTATGTGAGCCAAAATAAAATACACATTACTTACTACAATAAGTAGTAAAGTAATAAAGATAAGTAATAAAGGAAGGACATTGACATTTACTGAGGGCCACCTGGTAAAGTGGTGCCTAGGAGAGAATGCTGGAGAGGAATCAGAGGAAGTAACTTGTCCAAGATTTTGTAGCCAGTGATAGAATTACTGACAACCTAAATCAATCTATCTTTCTTTCTTTCTTTCTTTCTTTTTAAGATTTTATGTGTTTATTAGAGAGAGCATGAGCAGAGGGAGAGGGAGAAGCAGACTCCCCACTGAGCAGGGAGCCCAATGCGGGGCTTTATCCCAGGACCCTGGGTTCGTGACCTAAGGCCAAGGCAGACACTTAACCTACTGAGCCACCCAGGTGCCCCTAAATCTTTCTGTCTTAAAAGTGTAGGTCTGGGTGTGTGGGGGGGAAGGATAGGGTGGCTGGGTTATGGACATTGGGGAGGGTATGTGCTATGGTGAGTACTGTGAATTGCGTAAGACTGATGATTCACCGACCTGTACCCCTGAAGTAAATAATACATTGTATGTTAATAAAAAAGTAAAAAATAAAAAAAAATTGAAAAAATAAAAGTATAGGTCTTTTTCACTATAACCTAAAAATGTTAGAGTAATGAAATAAAGATTTGGATGATTGGGGCGGTGCATCCTAAAACATAAAAAGTCAGTGTGAGCTGGTGGAGTGCAGAAATTGTATACTAGTCCCATGTTTCTGTTCCTGCTTTCCAGATAGCTAGGTGACCTTGGACAAGTCACTTTCTGAGCTTCAGTTTTATCTTTAACATGGGGATAATAAAAGACATTTTCTTAAATTGTGAGGATTAATGATACTGTTTGCAAAGTGCCTAGCACAGGGCTTGGCTTACAATAATCCCAGTAAATATCTAAATATAAAGTATTTGTGATTTTTCAAAGCTGTGTAACTTATAAATGAATAGTGAACTCCCTGTTGTTGAAGTATTTGAATATTCATTTAACCTGTTTTTGAAGTATTTGAATATTCATTTAACCAATAGACATCTATGCATTAAACACTTAATGCATCAATATTTCTTTAATCTTGTTTTATAATAATATAAGCCTGGATGAGATATTAGACTAGTCATACCTAAGTACTGTCCAAACTAAAGATTATATGATCTTCTTTCTCCCTTGCACCAGGGGCATCCTTTTCAGCATTGAATGAGCCTAAATAGTCCTTTGTCTCTCTTCACAGGAAGGATGAAGGGGAAGCCTGGCTGAGTTGTCACCCCCCAGGTAATGTCCATTTGCCCAAATTAATATGCCTTCTTTTAGAGATAGGGGGATTTACTACCCTTAGAAGAGAGCTGCATACTTTCTTTTGGCTCAAACTCCTTGCACAATGCTCATAATCTTCAAATGTTCGTGACCAGTTTATGTGTAGGATATTTTATTTAGGCCCCATCACTGCAAAAGCAATGTTCTCCTTAAGCAGATTTTCTAGATTACTGAAGCGTAACTCTATGCTATGTATTATGTGTATATACTGTGGCTAAATGCATGTGTGCATGTTGATCTTCATCTTTCATTGTGGAAGAATTTCATTTCACAGTCAGTAAAACTGAGTTTGAGATTGCTTTAGTAGGTTTTTTTTTTTAAGATTGATTTATTTTTGGCGGAGGGCTGGAGCAGAGGGAGAAGGAAAGAAACTCAAGCAGACGGTGCACTGAGGGCTGGAGCAGAGGGAGAAGGAAAGAAACTCAAGCAGACGATGCACTGAGTTCACACCATGGTCCAGGGCTCCATTTTGGGACCCTGAGATCACAACTCTGAGATCATGACCTGAGCCAAAATCAAGAGTTGGGTGCTTAACTGACTATGCCACCCAGGAACCCCCTAGTAGCTTTCTCACAAATGCTGTAACTTTAAATCTTTGTATCTAATTTTTAGCTCTTGAGCATATTCCTACCAAATTAGGTTCACCCAGGCTAGGGCTTTTTTCTCTTCACCTTACCTTATACAAGTACCTTCTTTTCTTTCATGAATCAATTTCCTGCCATCTATATAGATGCCTGAATTGAATCTTCAAGGAGAACAATGTTAAATTCTTATTATTTTCCTGAGACAACGCTTCTTTTGTGTTATGTAGGTAAACCAACTTTGTATGGCAGCCTAACTTGTCAAGGAATTGGCCAGGATGGCATCCCAGAAGTTACAGCTTCAGAAGGATTTATTGTGAATGAGATAAACAAGGTAGGTTTTTATATCCTCTAAATGACACCTGTTCTAAAACTGGGGTAATACCCATATATCTACTTTAAATATTTATACTGTTATTTATATATCTTTGTCATCTTTATTTTATTTGTATAGTAATCACAGTATTTACTGCCTTGGATGTCAAGAGTTGTTTTTTTTTCTTTTGTAGTTACATGTGCTTTGAGATACTTTTAGTTGCATATACTTCCCTTATATCAGCGCTGTCCGATAGATGAATTATGTAAGCCACATATGTAATGTAATGTAAAATTTTTTAAGAGCCACATAAAAAAGGTAAAAATAGGGACACCTGGGTGGCTCAGTTGTTAAGCGGCTGCCTTCGGCTTAGGTCACGATCCCAGGGTCCTGGGATTGAGCCCCACATCGGGCTCCCTGCTCGGCGGAAAGCCTGCTTCTCCCTTGCCTGCTCCCACTGCTTATGTTCCCTCTCTCACTGTGTCTCTCTCTGTCAAATAAATAAATAAATAATCTTAAAAAAAAGTAAAAAGAAACAGGTGAAATTAATTTTAATAATATATTTTATTTAATGCAATAAATCTAAAATACTATTTCAACTTATAATTAATATTAAAAAATTATTAGTGAGATAGTGTACATTCCTTTTTTCTTACTGAGTTTTTGAGAACCTGTGTATATCTTATATTTACTACACATCTCAATTCAGACTCTAATTTTTTATTGACAATAAATAAGTAGGGGCACCTGGGTGGCTCAGTGGATTAAGCCGCTGCCTTTGGCTCAGGTCATGATCTCAGTGTCCTGGGATTGAGCCCCACATCGGGCTCTCTGCTCAGCAGGGAGCTTGCTTCCCCCTCTCTCTCTCTGCCTGACTCTCTGCCTACTTGTGATCTCTCTCTGTCAAATAAATAAATAAAATCTTTAAAAAAAAAAAAAAGGAAAATAAACAAGTAAAGGTATTTAGGTATATATTATATTTAGGTATAAATTAGAGTTGAGAACATAAATTCACATACCCAGGTAGTTCCAGATATATTTAAAAAATTTTCCAAAAACTGAGGCAAGTATCAGTTTTTAAATTAAACTTTAAATAAAATTAAAAAATGCAGTTCTTCATATATGCTGGCTGTATTTCAAATGCTCAATAATCTCTTGTGGCCAGTATCTACCATATTGGACAGCATAGCCTTTACAGTGTATCTGGCTAGGCCTTGATGAAGACCTATATAAATAGTAGTTTTTCTCATTGTCTTTTTTTTTTTTTAAAGATTTTATTTATTTATTTGACAGAGAGAGAGATCACAAGTAGGCAGAGAGGCAGGCCAGAGAGAGAGAGAGGAGGAAGCAGGCCTCCCGCTGAACAGAGAGCCCGATGCGGGGCTTGATCCCAGGACCCTGGGATCATGACCTGAGCCGAAGGCAGAGGCTTAACCCACTGAGCCACCCAGGCGCCCCTCTCATTGTCTTTGAGGTGAGTAGATAGCCAAACTAAGTTTTGCAGAACCCATGATCTGTTGAGGTGTGTAATTAAATTTTTTTCAGTTGTGAAATATTTCAGGTATATTGATAAGAATGGATACTTTGTTTTTTACATAAGACTTTAAATGTTAATTTATTCCAATTTGTGAAAGTTAATAGGCTGTATGTTATTATATATTTTTTGCATTTGTTTTTCAGAAACAGCTATGGCATAGTAGAAACTGTCAGAAGATCTGAGTTCAAGTTTTAGTTAACTCTGACACTAGTAATATGATTCTTGGACAAATAACTTAGTTCTCTGAGCCTGTTTCCTCATTTACAAAACGGAGGAGATGTGCTACCTATAGACTG